GAGCATCTGGTGGATTTAAACCCTGCATCTTTGGGATTGCAGTGCAGCTTCTTACCACAAGGCCACCAGAGCTCCATAATTATCTGATTTTAAATGGCTAATACCAATCTATTTCAGCTCACTCCACAATAAACAACAATAATAAACAATCTTTGTACCTACAGTCAAGAAATCAACAGTTGTTGCACTGGGGAAATCTGCTGTCAAGAACTTCTCCAAAGTGCTAAAGAACAACAATTTCAGTTTAAAGACTAAGGTGCATCTGATCCAAGCCATAATCTTCTCAATCACTTCCTATGCATCTGAAACTTGAACAATGAATAAGGACAACAGAAGAATTTATATCTTTGAGTTGTGGTGTTGAAGAAAGATACAGACTATCCCATGAACTGCCAATAAGAACAAGCAAATATGTCTTGGAATAAGTGCAATCAGCGTGTTCCCTGGAGGCAAGGATGGTGACTTTGTCTAATGTACTTTGGGTACGTTGTTAAGAAGGGCCAGTCCCAGGAAAATTACATCATGCTTGGAAAGGGAGAGTCAGAATAAGAGAGGAAGACTCTCAACAAGATTGGCTAACACAGCGACTAAAGAAGGGCTTACATGTATCAGAGATGATGAGAAAAGTGCAAAATATGGCAGAGTTCAGATCTATTGTTCATAGGATCATTATGAGTCATAGTTGACTTGATAGCACATGATAGCTATAATGGCTAGGAAAGCATTGTTCGTATATGGTATCTAATTTTTGACAATGAGTTTTCATAGAGTCATACTGTGTACACTTTCATGTTCAGTTTTAGTGGATATCTGCAGCTGTCTACTCATTTTTAGTCATGTCACATCAACAAATGTTAAGTGCCGTCTAAGTCATAGGTGACTAATAGCGAACCTATGAACGAAATAACTGAACACTTGTATAACTTTCATCATTTCTCCAAGTTCATAGGCTTTCCAGAGGCAAGCTATTTTGGAAGCGGATGCCACTCCTGCTTCCAAGCTTGTTTTCATCAGGGAGCTCCACCAAACACTGTCCACCATGGGTAGCCATTATCGCTTTTTTTTTAAATTTTTTATTATTTTGTGTGTGTGTACCATCAAATCAGATCTGACTGGTACAGGAGGATATTGCACCTCCTTCTCCGGCAGAGCATCTGGTGGATTCGAACCCTGTTCCTCTGGGATTGCAGTGCAGCGTCTTGCCACTAGGCCACCAGAGCTCCCCCATTATCGCTTTTGACACATCAGTGTCACACTGTTCAACATCACAGCAACCACGAGTTACCTCTGTACAGCAAATGGACAGACGTTGCTATATGACCTAGAAGAATGTTTGACCAAAAACAATTAAAAACAGGCCTGAGGGCTGCGGATTAGTCACTCACCTTTGGCTTGGTAGTATCACTTTCTGTCCACTAGGCCAACTAATCTCTCTCCAAGCTGTTGTTAAGTGCCATTGAATCGTAAGTGACTTACAGCAATGCTATGTACAATAGCTCTGAACTCTCCTCTATCCTGAACCAGTCTCATGTCTCCCTATGATTTCAACAAAGGTCCCCCAAACTTTACTCCATTTATGTAATTAAGGTCAACTCTACTTTGAGGGGGTAGCTCTTCTCCAGTGGTATTTGGAGGGCTTTCCAACCTGAGGGACTGGTCTTCTGGCTCTATGCCAGTGCTCTATTGTTAGCTGTTATGTGCCATTGGGTTGCCTGTGACTCATAATGACTCTGTGTACAATCATTCTGAACTCTCCTCTATCCTGAAACCAGTCTCATGTCTCCAGCACACCCTGCCCCATTATCCCAGTTACTGTGTCAATCTATCTCATCAGGAGTCTTCCTCTTCTGTGCTGTCCCACTCTTATTAATGTTTTCACTAACCAACTTTTTCCTATACACAGCCTTCTTCCTAGTCGTCGTCTGAAAGCTCCATGCAACCTGCCCACCATGGATGACCCTGCTGGTATTTAAATATCAGTGGCATAGTTTCCAACAGCACAGTACTGTGCAAGTAACCACAGCAGGTCAAATTATCAGACTAGTGGTTGGGCCAAACAACAGGACAGAAGGCTTTTGAACAGTAATACCCATGAGGATTATGCTCTTCAGAACATCCAGCCATGAAACCAAAAGGGGTAGCATTTATCCAAAATCAATGTTCAGAAGATAGGAACCATAACCATAGGGTTGTTATGAGTCCTACCGTGCTTGATGGCATCTACCAACAATAGCAGCTGTATAGGACAGAGTCAAACTCTAAATCTTTGCAGATGGAAGAAAGGTGGCTATCTTCTCTGTTGAGATTATTCAAAGCCTAGAAAACAACTCGACCCCACAGCAATGAGTTAGTTGTTGGATTCTAGTGTTATAGTGTAATCATTATAGAAGCGGACTGCTTTATCTTTCTTCCATAGAATGGCTTAAGACCTTTTTGGTTGTTGTTGTGTACCACTGAGTTGGAACCGACAGTCGACCCAGTAAATTGCACACAAAGAGTGCCCATCTTTATCTATGGAGCAGCTGATGGATTTGAACTCTATGCCTTTGGGATTGCAGAGCAGCTTCTTAACACTAAGCCACCAGAGCTCCTGAGCAGCCCAATACTTAATCTACTATACCACCTTATATCGCAATCATAATAATGAAAGAAAATATGTATAAATTTTTAAATGGGAAACTAATTTGCTCTGTAAAGTTTTATCCAAACTACTTTAAAATATTTTTTAAAATTAGTATTAAAGTTAGTAACTATACTCAAACTGTCCTACTGTTTTAGGCCAAGTTATGTGTTGGCCTCCAGCTGTGTGTGAAAAATAGTGCCCAGATGTCTCCCAGCTAGTCTACACCGGCTGTTTGGACTCCTGCTTGTTGACAGTTCTGCAAAAACGTAACATCTGGATGTCTGGGTTTGCTTTAAGAGATTGCAGATAGAGCTGGTCTTTTTCCTTTGGTGGGAAGAATTCCGGACTATTCCAAATAGAGCCAAATAACTGTTAAAACAAGTCAAAATTCCCATCAGTTCCTGGTGAAGGCCTATTTTAATCTAAACTGAAGAGGCACGTTGCACCAGATTACTTATTTTTAGCAACTAAGTGTCCCCAACAATACAGTGCATTCATTAGAAAGCAATTTGACCCATGTAAGAAATCTTCTGAGCCATAGGATTCAGGCCCAGCGAACTCATAGCATCATTTTACCTGCCCTGCCCTGTTACCCACTTAAGCTAACATCAGCAGCTTTTCTTTTTCCAGGTTGCCATGAATACAACCTGGTTATTAGGATTCAAGAGTGAGAAAAATGAAATCTCTTAGTTGCTGATAAATAACTGAGGAAAGGAATACACCCTGAGTAGGAATATGCCTCTTACACAGGCCTGCCTTGCAGCCCTAGCCCTTGGCCCTTTGCCAGGCGAGGTTTTCTTTTTCTCGGGAAAAACAGCCTGTTCAACCCTAACACTCCAATATCCAAAGGGAGCCTGTGAACTGTGGTTGTCTTCAGCACCCCACCTACTGTCAACCCTTTTCCGTGGCTGCTGCTTTGTCATTATCTCTGGTAGAAAAGTGAGAGGTGGCAACTGGCTCTCATGCCGGCAATCACCCTGGGTGTTTCAGTGGGAAACAGGAACTAGCCTGTGGGAGCGGGCAGTGCCTCCAGCACGGTGGATTTTGAAACGCTCAGACACAAGGCAAATACTAGAAAACTAGGCTCAAGTCACAAATACAGGCTTTGGTGATGTACCCTCCTGATTCATGTCTAACTCTTCAAGTTCTAAATCTTTCATTCATAGCCGTATGGAAAGAATCAATCAATAAACCAAGGGCTTGGCAATAAACAGGACTCCTGCTTGATTACTGGCCAAGAGTTTCCCTAGGAGACTTCTTCCTGCCTTTCCCAGCACAAAATCCTCAAGCAGTCAAGGCAATATTGAAACATGACTCACAAAGGCCAAGTAAGACGGTATGATTAGGGGACTGAAAGGGGTGTGTGTGGAACTAGGAGGTCAAACTTTAGAATGATGGATTTTGGCTTTCCCTGAGAGCAGGTCAATCACAGCCAGAGGCTACAATTCCTGGAAGGCAGAGACAAAGGAGAACAAACAAGAGCCCAACAGTTTGTTCATCCTGTGTCTCCCAAGTGTGAGACTCACTATAGGAGGATGCAGAGAGGAAATATAGAAACCAGATGTGTGTCCTTTATTCCACCTAGGAGCGTACCCTAGAGCCAGGTACTGGACAGGCCTCTGGAAGGAAGGTTCCTGGGGCCTGGACGCACAACTCCCTGGACTGTTTTCCTTGCAGATGGGGTGTGGAGAGAAGCTGAACTCTGAGGCGGAGCCCCTCAGCACTGAGGTGAACGGAGAGTGGAGGAAGTAGGATCATGAGAAGGGAGACAATGAGGGGCCTGGAAGAGCAGAGGTTGGGCATTTTGATGTGAAAGGCCTTTATGTCTGGCCCTGTGGGTCCACTGTAAGCCACATCCATGCTGCAAAGAGGTGAAGTGGCTGCTGGCGTGGTGATGCTGCATTCTCCTGGAAGGCTGTGTCCTCTTTCCTCTGTGGCTGAAATTGTGACCAAGACTTGGAAGCAGAGGCTGCTGAACTGTGGAGGCAGGAGTCATCTTGTTGTGAGGACGCAGAAACCACTCTCTGGGTGCCTCATCTTCACACACGAACTCTTTGGGGCTTTGGGAATGAGACGGCGAGAGGCAGGGAGGAGGAGACAAGAGAGGCTGCCAGCCCTGGACAGAGGCTGGGAGTCAAGTACAACAGGGCAAAAGAAGTGTCAGTGGAATCCTGGGCAGGAGCCGAGATGCCCCGGGGATCGGTCCCCACCAGAGACGGAAGAGCTGGGCTAGAGACAGCTGGGTATTTGCCTAGGAAATACAACTCAGGCACCAAGTAAAAAAAAAAAAAGACACCCATGCAGAACTGTCACTCATATGGCACCCTCCCAGCCCCCTGCACTGTCAGATGGTCTGCCAAAGATGAAGCAAGTGGCCCTATTGCTGTGATATCAGGGCAAGTGCCCAGTCCAGGAAAGCCACCATGCTGTCCTGTAGGTAGGTCCAGGTCCAGTGGGCAGCCTCATTGAGCTGGGTCTTCAGGCACTGCCACGTTACTTCACCTCTGGGAAGAAAGCACAACATTTGGGGGGGTTTAGGGGGCATTCATCTCTATTAAGTCATAGAAGTGCAGTTCAGAGCCACAAACTTCATCCCAGAGTGAAAGATCGGATAATGAGTGTAGAGAGGAACATGAACAGAGGAGCCCTGTGACTGAGGAGAGGCTGCACTCACCTGCACACCTCGTGGCAGTGCTCCTGGGCTCGGGCCAGGCCCTCAAGCAGCAAGTGCCACAGCGGCAGCAGCACGTTCTGGTAGAGAAGGAGCAGTAGCTCCTTCAGAGAGTAGAGCAGCTGGTTCAGGACGTCTGGGAGCTGGGTCTGTATCTGGCGAGGGAGGACAGCACAGGTTAGGGCTCTCAGGGGAATGCACGCTGGCACTAAGGACCCAGTCCCAATACAGCCGCACGAGGCCTTCTCTGACCTCCCCGTTTTCTGGCTTACTCTCTTGGAAAGACTGATGAGACTGTCACCAAACCAAGCAAGGTGGGGGGCACAATGGGAAGAGAGAAAGACGACTGTGGCATTGGTATGGGTCCAGGCTGTCTGCAAGCTGGGCCTCACCATAGTGAGCAGGTAGGAGCTCCAGGCTGGCACTGCTTCCTCTAGCCAGCTGCAGGAGAGACGAGGGAAAAGGGGCTCTGTGGTTCCTCAGGGCAGCTAGGCTCCCAAGGAATAGTCGGGGGAGGGAAGGCAGGGCAAGGAAAGCCCAGTGCTTCCTGGCTGTCAATGCCCCATCCTGAGGCCATTAGCCTCTCACAGCCCCTCTCCCTTTGCCCTGGGGAGAAGTTCACCTGTAGCCTTGCAGGCTGTAGGAGTAGAGCTTGGCACATGCTTGTTGACCAACAGGCAAGAAACCAGATGACTGAAGCAACCGGCCAGAGACAGAGGCTGAGTAAAGAGGTCTCCAGTGAGCAGGGATGTGAGTGGGGCAGAGGTGAGGGACACACACTACTGGGCCCAGCAGGCAGGGGAGAGTGTGGGGAGGATGTAGTGTGCTCATGGGGTGCATGACAGGCCTAGGGCTGAGGCATCAGAGGCCTGTTTGAGGGTCTGCCCATCCACTAAGTAGCATAAGTTTACTGTTAGAACTCTCTGAACCTGAATTTCCTCAGGAGTTAAAAGGAGCTAACACTTACTCAAATTTAGTCTGTGTACATACAAGTGTGTACGCCCTGTAAATTACTAACTAGTTCCTCCAAAGTGGTAATATTGTAAGTGAATGTCATAGTAGAAAAATCTGTTGTTGTTACGTGCTGTTGAGTTGCTTGCGACTCATAGCGACCCTATGTACAACAGCCCTAAACTCTGCTCTGTCCTGTGCCAATCGCACTGTTTCTGACACTCCCATCCCAATTACCTCAGTCACTGAATCAATCCACCTTATAGAGGGCCTTCCTCGAAAAATATTTAGTAAAAAAAAAAATGTAGTCAGCAGTACTGAGAATCCACTGAGGCACAGTGTGTATACCTGTGAGCAGCTATTGGTTACACCCCACTCTGTGCCGCTCCCCAACCCCCACCTCCCGTCTTTCTTACTTGTCAATCCTCCTTACCTTGGAAGGAGCTGTGTGACCGGAAGTCATGGCACAGGAAGCCTGCAGCAAACACTAACGTCAAGAGGAACAACCTCGTCCAGGGCAGCCGAGGGCCCCGAGACTGCTGCAGCAAGGCCTGGGAGGAGAAAGGGTAGGCAATCATGGGGTTCCTGGCCCCCACAGACAGGACTGCAACGAGGTATTAAGCAGAGAAGAGGATCAAGTGCTTGCAGAGGCAGCAGGGGGAGATCCAGGGGCAGGTGGCCCAGGAGTGTGACACCTGCACCTGACCCAGGTGTGTCGAGGAGCGCGGGCCACACCTTGCAGGCGGCATCACACGTGACCGCATCCTGGTTGTTACAGTTGCTCTTCCTGAGCAGCTCCTGGTTGGTCAGCTTGAAGGACTGAATGATTTCTAGCAAAGACTTCCACACCTATAGGATGAGAAAAATCTGGGTTTAAGAAACTAGCATTTGGCCACTGTCATGCTCGGAGCTTCCATTTGCTAAATCTTGCAGGATGAGTGCACAGCAGAGCACTCTTCTCAGGGCAATGAGGAAGAGCAGGTCATAGGTTTGAACCCAGAACCCAGAGAGCTCAGCCTGCTGTGTCCTCCAGCCGCTCACCTTCTTGGGAATCCGATCCTGGGACTTGAGCAGGTGGTCCAGCAGCAGGCTGTGGGGAAAGCACGGCCCTCCCAGTCAGTGGGCCTTCTGGGCACCTCTCTCTCTCAACTGAACTCTGCCCCTTTTGGACTAAATACTGTCCACCCTCATGCAAAGAAGCAGCTGGTCCCCAGACCTCCCCAGCAACGTTCCAATTCAATCTGAGCGGCATGAGCCCGAGGAACATGGACAAATGGTCCCTTTCCGCTCTGGGACAGGAGCATGCCCAGGCCCAGGTTGGGATGCATGAACCAAGGTGTCTCTGTATGAGCAGAGGTTGGTCACCCCCACCACACCTGCCTGGATTGGGAAAGATGCTTGGGGTACAGCTGCCTCCACACGCTGGCGCTGAGGGGGTCCACAGTCAGGCATTCGGTCAGGCTGCTCAGGAGCTGCACAGGGGACAGAGGGACAGGCTAGTGGGGACAGGGGCTGCTGGAGGAGGAGCATGCCTAGAATCAACTTCCCCAGATTAACACAGCCACTCTATAGAGGGTGGAGAAATGGTGCCAAGAACCGTCCTAGACAGCGCTCTGAGAAGCGGTGAAGGAGGAGGCTGGAGCTCCTGAGTTAGAGATTAGTTCAAAGATCATCCATTTCTAGGGGGGCAGGGCAGTAGACCTCCCACTCCCCCCAGCCCAGAAAGTGCTGCCCTTTCATGCGCACTCCTCCAAGGGCAGGACAGGAGGGAGTGGGATGGGACTGTTGGGAGGGGAGGGGACTGTCAGGAGGGGGAGTGAGCTGCGTGTTCCGTGTTCTTCTCAGACAGGCCTTTGTCAGCACACAGGAATCTTTGCAGCTGACTCTGAGTAAGGAGGAGTCTCACACTATTTCCTCACCTCTTTCTTCATCTCAGCGGGACAGCTAGGCGTGGCTCTGGACAGGAAGGAGGGGAAATAGGTATGCAGGGTGGATTCTGGCTTTGCCCCAAATGCCAGCACCTTCAGTCGAGGGTAGAGCTGACACAGATGCTCCTGCAGACTGGGATGGGGGTGGAGAGGAGAGCCAGGCACAGGCTGTAAGTGGGGCTGCACCAGGTGTCCTCTCTGCACACCTTACAGCCCATGCCCCTGATCAAAGGCAGAGTCCCCAAGGTCATGCAATGTCTCTGAGCCTTTTTTGACTCAAGAGATTCTCCTGAAAGCCTTGGACCCTCTCACCAGAAAAATGCCTATATGTCTATCATACAACTTCAAGGAGTTCACAGATCCATAGAAACCCACCCTTGAACATTCAAATTAGGAATCCCAAGTGGCCATGGGGGGAAGGCTGGAGTGTGTCATCACTCCAGTTGCACCGAGGATCCCCTCACCTGGGCGTCAGGGAGTTGTTGGGCATATAGGCAAAGTCCAGAAGAGGGAAGAAGTCCTTGGGGCCAATCATTCCGAAGCCCTTGGTGAGGTTTGGGTGCATCCTGTGGAGGTAAGATGGAATAGGCCTGTTGGAAATCAACATCTAGACCAGCCACTTGGCCATGACCCCAGCAATGACCAACATGTAGGTAAACAGGGCATCTTTACTCTAGCCCATTTCCTCACCCCTCAATGACTCCCTCCTTCCTCATGGTCACATTCCGAGTTAGGAAGACCTCGTCCTGATTCCCTCCCCTTATCTATGGAGACCAGCATCACATCATCCCATTTTTCAGAAATAGCCACCGCTAGAGAACCCAGCCCCTCGCTGTCCCATTACTCACAGGAGCAGTCGCTCGAGGTATGCGATGGCGTAGGGAGACAGAGACTTGATTCCCAGCACAGGCATCATGATCCCCAGCCACACTGCAGAGCAGAGGTGGGAGGGAGGGAGCTTCAGGCCTGGATCCACTGGGGAGCCTGAGAGGAGCTTTCTGGCTCCAAGGCCATCCCTCTCCTCCCCACGTCCTCGGTACCTTTCAGTCCCTCGGAGAGGCTGGCAAAACCCGCTTGACCTATGGCCCACATGATGGTCAGACACTTTGCTGGTCGGCTCTGGTGGGACCTGAGTAGCTCCAGGAACTGAGGAGACCAGCAGGGGAGGCACACATTGGGATAAAGTAAAGAACAAGGAACACCTCCAGAACCAAGTAGGAAGAGAGATGACAACTGGGAGAGAAGAGGGTAGCTGAGGGAGAGCAGATCAGCCAGGGATGCAGGGCACCAGCTGCGGTACACTTATGCTTTGTTATTTACTCGCCGACAAATCCAGGGCAGTTACTGAACCCCTCTGTGGCTCAGCCTTCCCATCGCTAAAATAACTCTAACAGTGGTACCTGATCAATATAGGTATGGAAACAGACACACAGTAAGTACCAACAGTGTTCTTGTTATTCCTGGTCTCTATTCCAAAACTGGGTTCAATAGTGTGGCATCTTCCCAGTCCCAAGCTTCTGGTGACCCATCACCAGCGGGAGCTCACCTTGCTGAGGTTTGTGGTGGCAATCTTAGGCTTTTCTTGCAGAATGGCCTGGATACAGATACGGTAACCATGGAGCGATTCACCTGGAGAGATACATGTTCTCAGTCATACGCACATTGCACACCACGTGGCATCTCAAATCATTTCCCTTTTGGTAGCTGTGTAGCCAAGATCAAGTCCAACGAGTCCTAACTGCCTTCTCTCTCCCAAAAGTATCAATTAGTGGTTTTGTTTTTTTTTTTCCTGGAAAGAGAACCAACCAACCACTTTGGAAGCATACAAAAGGGACTAGACTCCCAAGACAAAGCTGGGTTATCCCTCCCCAACCCCTGGCTTTCTTGCCTTCTTACCTGGTGTCTTATCCAGCTCTTGCAACATGGTGAACAGACAGTGGTCAAAAAAGAGCTCCAGAGACCCTGCTGCCTTGGCCAGCAGCCCCCGGATGATCCCACGAAGCTCCCGGCTCACCAGGCTGTAGGGATAATCTGCAGCCAACAGGATCTACATGAGTGCCAAGCTCACAATGCCACTGGCAGATGTGAGCACCACAGTGCCCTTGCTGAATGATGAAAGCAGAGGTCTCTGTTCTGAGGTGCTCCCTATAAACCAATGAGGCCAGGGACTTTCACAGCCATGATGATGTGTGTACGGCTCACATCACCCTTTGGGTGCATAAATCAGGAGACTGTGGAGCAATGGGCTCTGCTACTATCCAGTGTGCTTTAAGTCAAGACCATTCAGAACTTTAATGAGTGTTAAAACAGTTAGAAAGACTAACCATGGGTGTGCTGGCTTAACGTGGGTTCACTTAAAGGGGCCTGGAGCTTGTAGTTGAGATAGCTGGCCAGATCCTTCAGCCACACGGAGGGGTTTCCGGAGAACACACTTTGGCTCTTGTCCAGTTCCTTCTGCAGGGCTGCCACGTCCAGCTGCCAGGGACACCGTAAGGTGAGTTATGAGTAGTGGCCAAGGAAAAGGAGCAGGGACAGGGGAATAATCGAACTGGGTGGTGGAAGGGGGAGCAAACTTGATCAAGGCTCTTCTACGTTCAAAGGGAAAATACAGGGACAACATGGAAAACAAAGGCTCATTGCTTCCATGGGGCAGGGAACAGCCAGCTTCTCCAGTCTCTCCCTGGTGTTCCTGAGCTTTCCTCTCACCATTATTTCCCCAGAAGCTTCCTTTCCTTAGTGTAAGCATCCTATTCCTTTGATGCCTCAACACTTTCTGAACTCCCCACACCTACCATCCCTCCCTCCTCCTTTTTACTTTCTCTCCGCCTTGAAGACCTCAGTCTTTCCACCTGAAGACCGGGCACACTCACTGCTTTCATGGCCGCCTCCAAGCTGCGGAAGCGGCCCTGCTTCTGGTTCTGGTTAGTGACAGCTGCCACCTTCTTGGGTTGTTTCTTGTTCGCTGGTTTCTTAGGCTCCGCTGCGGGGGGTGGGACCTGCTCCTTGTTCTGCCGCTTCTTGATTTTCTCAAAGCCCAACTCATAGAGTGTACTTGTCGTCTGGATTGGAGCTAGGGTAAAGAGGGGTAGAAAAGGGGAAGTGATCTTCAGTGTCAAAGGCCTCACAGAAGAGTGGGTTCTTCTCTCCTCCAGGGAGGAGCCTGACCCTAGGCTCTCTCTTTCTGTACTGTGCTAAGTTCTTTCGGCCATCACAGCTGCTGATTTCATGGACTCTTTCATAGATGGGGCATTTCTTCATTAGACATAGATGATGGGGAGCTAGTGGTAGGGTCAGATACACAGGACTTTCTGTTTTGCAATTAGACTGGGAGACTAGAATGTTTCCATCACACTTATTCATCTCCAGTCCTCTAGATTAGATATGACAGCTCTAACTAAAATCAACAAGTGGTGAGCGTTCTCACTCCTCTGGGAAACAGAGGAACAAGTGCCATACAGAACACTTGGTGAGTGTTGTGAGTGTGTGTGTGTACGTGCGCGCGCTCGCGTGTAATTTCTCCCACTGCTGGGCCTCCAGTCCCCCCCAGCTCTCCACTTGCTGGTTCCTTTAAGAGGGGACACCCTTCTACTAAATGTTCCCAGCTCTTGAGCACTTGGCGGGTGAGGCGAGGCCAGAACCGAGAACTGCTGGCAGAATTTGCATGCCGTGCACCAAGTGTCTCAAGACTAGAATTCAAGTCCCTTCTGACATGCGATTGTGGGAAAGCCAGTGAATCAATCAGTCCTCAGTTTACTATTCTGCAAGGTGAGGGCAGTAAGCTCGTCTTGCAGTCTCTCTCAATTGACAGCGCAGGGGCAGGCTTTGGCGAATTGGGAACTGCTGATCACGAGAGTTCGCCCCTCGGATAACTCGGGAGTGTTTTGACCCTCTGGGCTGTGGTAGCTGCTCACTGTCTACGGAAGGGGAGCCCCGGGGTCTCTCCAAGGCGGGGTCACTGCGGTGGCGCTGGCGGGGTGGGTACTCACGCGTCAGGTCGAACTTCCACACCCCGTTGGCCTCCCCGAGTGCCCGGCGGTCCCCTCCGCCTCTGGCTTTATTATTGTTGCCGGCCGCAGACCGTCGCCCCTTCTTCACCACCTCCCAGCGGCCCCCAGCCGCTGTCTTGGCCGCCATGGTTCCAACCCCTCCCGATACCGCCGCTTCCCGGTCTGGCACCGACACGTCACGTTTTGCCACGTCCCCTTCATGATCGCACGGCACTTGACGCTCACCGCAAGGCAGCCTGGGACTTGTAGTTCGGCAACTGTCTCTCCGGCCCGGAGCTGGGGGATCTATTAGCAGCCCCTTGGAAGCAAGGCTCTGGCTTCTGCCCAGGCCAAGATACCGGGATGAGAGGCAATTTCATTCTAAAAACTTTTATTTTATTGAGTACCCACCGTGTGACGTCTACTGCACAAATGACTCGATGTCTATTAGACATCTATCTAGGGAGCTGGGAGCTCTGGTGGTATAGTGGCAAGAAGCTGTGCTACAATCCCAAAGGCACGCGATTTGAGGCCACTAGCTGCTCAGCGAGAGAAGGATGGACAATCTCCTAACATGCAATTAACTGCCTCTGAAAACCCGCGGGAGGATCAGCTGTGGGTCGGTAATGACTATATGGTCCTCAACAATTCCCATCTCTGACCTAGTTGGGGAGACACCCATTCTAGAGCTTTTTCACTCCTCCAGGAAACAGAAACAGGTTGTCATACAGAATACTCGGTGGGTGTTGAGTGTAGGGTGTTCTAAAATAGAATATTTTAACAGGAAAATGTAACTTTGCATTCTTTACTAGTGCCAGAAGATAGAATGGAAATAGTTTCCCTCACCACTCAGGAGAGACTGCAGATCAAATGTTTCCTTCCTTTTAGGAAAGTGCTAAGTTTTTCGGTTGTTAGTGATTATGCAGAAATTATCAAACAATATCAATAATATAACATGAAAGCAAGATCCTGTTGAAAATTTTCCACAAATGACTGGAACAGCACATCGACAGAGAACTGCCAGGCCATGGTACTAGGGATATTATGGTTAATGTCAGATGGGTCTTGGCTGAAAGCAGAGAGTACCAGGGGGATGTCTATTTGTGTTTCATTGACTATGCAAAGGCATTTGACTGTGTGAATCATAACAAACTGTGGCTGACTCTGAGAAGAATGGGAATCCCAGAACACTTGATTTTGCTTATGCAAAACCTATTCTTGGACCAGGAGAGAGTCGTCAGAACAGAGCAAGGAAATACTGCATGGCTTGAAATCGGGAAAGGTGTCTGTCAGGGATGTGTCCTATCGCTATACCTTTTCAATCTATATGCCAAAACAGATCATCCGGGTGGCTGGGCTCTACGAGGAGGATGTGGCAACAGGATTGGAGGAAAACACATCAACAGTCTGTGTTATGCAGATGACATAACCCTGCTTGCTGAAGCTGAGGAAGACCTGAAGCATTTGCTGCAGAAGGTCAAGGACTGCAGCCTTCAATATGGATTGAAGCTCAACATCAAGAAAACAAAGATTCTCACCACTGGGCCAACTGGCTGCATCATGATAGATGGTGAAGAGAATGAGATTGTTAACAGCTCCAATTTGCTTGGCTCCACAACCAACACTCTGGGTACCAGCATCCAGAAAATTAAAAGACAAACTGCATTGGGAAAGTCAGCTTTCAGGGACTTCACCAGAGTACTGAAGAGCAATGATGTCAGGCTGGCTGGAGACTAAGGTGCACCTGATCCTGGCTATAGTCTTTGCAATTGCGTGTTATGCGTCGGAGAGCTGGACAGTGACTAGGGATGACAGAGAATTGAGGCCTTTGAGCTGTGGTGCTGGAGGAGAGTATTGAATATACCATGGACTGTTAAGAAAATGAACAGGTGCATCCCGGAGAGGAGGAAACGAGGCTGCTCCTTGGAGGCAAGGATTCTGAGGCTTCATCTGATGTACTTTGGGCATGTTGCAAGGAGGGAGCAGTTCTTGGAGAGGGACATCATGCTTGGAGGGTGGAAGGACAGTGCAGGAGAGGAAGACCCTCGATGAGATGGATTGAGTCAGTGGCTCAGGTATTAGGGGTAGCTGTGCCAGAGACAATAAGGTTCACCCAGAATAGAGCAGGTTTCAGGGCTGTTATACATAGGGTTGCTGTAAGTCACAAGCGACTCGACAGCACAGAACAACAGTGATTATGACTTTGAGTATCATATTGTTGTTGTTGTTATATGCCATCAAGTTGACTACAACTCATATTAACCCTATGAACAACAGATCAGAATGTTTTTCAATCTTGCACCATTCTCATGATCTCTGTTAGACACTGTGGTCATCACTGTGTCAATCCATCTCATTGAGGGTCTTCCACTCTTGATAATGCTCTACCTTTCCCAGCATCTCTCTCTCTAAAGACTAGTTCCTCTTGAAAATATGCTCAAAGTCTCACCATCCTTGCCTGTTTGGAGCACTCTGGTTGCACTTCCTGCAAGATAGATTTGTTTATTGTTTTGACAGTCCACAGTGTATTCAAAACTCTTCGCCAACACCATAGTTCAAAGGCATCAGGTCTTCTTTGGGCTTCCGTATTCATTGTCCAATTTTCAGATGCATAGGAAACAAGTGAGGACATCAAAGCTTACATCAAGCTTTGCACTTGAGTCTTTAGACTGACATCCTAGCCAGGAAAATACATTGTGAAAAGAAAAGGGAGAGGGTGGGGTCTGAAGGGAGAGGCAGACTGTGTGGAACACAAGAGGTGAAGTAGGCAGGGTCATTCCTTAGGAAGCATAGAGAGGTCGAGGTGTCTGGGACCCCTTGATGAAAACAAAGAGGACAGGAAATACCTATTGTGTAAGATCAAAGACTACATGGCCTTCTGTATGAATTATAGGGAGCAGTGATGGCAAGAAACTGCGCTGTAATCCCAAAGGCACAAGGTTCGAGTCCACCAGCTGCTCCATAGGATAAGGATGGTCAATTTCCTCCTGATCAACTGCCTCTGACAACACCTGTCAGAGGATGACTTGATGGTACACAGCAATAACAGCTCAACATCAAGAAGACAAAACTCCTCACTACTGGGTCAATAGCAACATCATGCTGGATCGAGAGAAGACTGAACTTGTCAAAGAATTAATATTGATTGGATCCACACTTGAGGCATAAGATCTTAAAACTCCAACTCATTGCCATCCAGTAGAAACCAACTCACAGCTGACCCTCTACTGCATTTGGAGGCTGTAAATCACAGGGGAGCTTGCCCACTACTGGTGGCTCTGAACTGTCAGAGAGGCATGGCCTTTGGTTTAGCACAATCCTTAAGGACTAAGCTGCAGGCCCTTCCTAAGCCATTAAATAGACCAGTCCTTGTGGGTAAAAAAAAAAATTAGAATCCAATTCCTCCAGGATGAACAGCTGAGGAAACAACTCCTTAGAAAGGAGCTCAGAATCCAGAAACTTCTCTAACAGGGTAAAAAGGGAAGCCACAGACTGGGAAAAAGTGTTTGGTAATGACATGTCAGATAAGGGACTTATATCTAGAATTTATAAAATACTTGAGCACCACAACAAGATAAAGGTGAATAATCCAATTGAAAAATGGGCACGGGATATGAACAGACACTTCACCAAGGAAGACATTCAGATGGCCAACAAGCACATGAAGAAATGTTCAAAATCCCTAGCTCTGAGAGAGATGCAAATCAAGACAACTATGAGATACCATCTCACCCCAGTAAGACTAGCAAAATTTAACAGAACAGCAAGCAACAAATGCTGGTGAGGTTGTGGAGAGACTGGAACCCTTATTCACTGTTGGTGGGAGTGTAAAATGGTGCAACCACTGTGGAAAGCGATGTGGCGCTTTCTCAAAAAGTTGCAAATAGAGATACCATTTGACCCGGCAATTCCACTACTGGGAATATACCCTAAAGAGACCATAAATGGCACCCAAGTAGATATATGCATACCCATGTTTATTGCGGCTTTGTTTACAATAGCAAGGAGTTGGAAACAACCCAAATGCCCATCAACAAACGAGTGGGTAGAGAAGCTGTGGTATATTCGCACAATGGAATATTATGCTGCATTGAAAAACAAGGAACTCATGCAATATTATTCAAAATGGGTGACCCTGGAGGACATTATGATGAGTGAGGTATCTCAGTCACAGAGGGACAAATGCTATATGGTGCCACTGTTGTAGAATGAGGCTGACATCAGGATGGGGGTAAGACTAAGAAAAACTGGATGAAATATGTTTACGGCATTGAAGTCTTTGGGGGAGAGAATATTTTATATTTTAGGGCATTATGTTTATCGTAAGAGTACGGAATGAGGGTTGCAGAGTGGATTATATTTTGGGATTGGGGGATGTGTGTGGGGGATTACGTACCAATGAGGGAGTTTTTCTTTTGCGTTTGAAGGAGAGGAGCAAACGGGGGGGGGGCGGGGAGAGGGGTGCAACAATGAATGAATGGAATTCCAAAATCTCTGTAGATGTTCACTGAAAAGAAAAATAAAGAAATTAAATAAAGAAAAAAAAAAGAAAGGAGCTCAGAGACAGCTTTTGAGATGGAGAAATTTCCAGAGGATGGGAGATCGGGGTGAATGGAGAAAATGGGTCTATTGCCCGACTGATTTAAGCAAGTATCTCTACAATGCTTAATGGGACTTGAGAGAGGAAGTTGGGAAATAGAGCATTGCTGGTGAGTGGTTAAGTAATCAGCTGTTAACTAAAAGATTGGTAGTTCAAATCCACCAGTGGCTCTGGGGTGAATGATGAGGTAGTCTGGGTGAATATTTACAGACTTAAAAACAGTAAGGGAAATAAAACCATAAAGGACTATTTATCTCTGTTCTATAGGGTCTGAGAGCTCACTTGACAACAATGAGTTTGTTTTTGGTTGTTTTTTTTTTAAGTTTTTAAAATGATGTTCAGAAAGGAAAGGATCTGAGACCATTTGTGGAAGGTGTTGCCTGACAAACCAAGGAGTATGAACTCATCCTCCAGATCCCAGAAAGCCAGTGGGAAGTGGTACTTTTACAGTTTTGGGAAGGCAAACACTGTGTGGAAAATAGGTTGGGGCAGGGCAAAGGCCTGGCTATCTCCTTCTGCCTGTCTTCCAGCCCCTTTAGATCTGACCA